AATTTGACTGTGCTTCTCATGGCTGGGTGGGGTGGTACACATCTGTAGGGAAGTTTCTGCTTGAGCTTTTCAGTTGTCTTTGAAATATTGAAAAAAGTAAGAAATTGGGGTCAGAATGGTCACTGCCATCACACAACTGTAGCAGTAATTAAGCTTTTCTCATCCCTACCACTTTTTTCATCAGTCATTCCAATATTCTCTATTAAAAAAAAAAAAATCTCTAGTATATGTAAAGCAAGATTGTAACCTGATCTCTCCTAGGAAATACTGAACCAGCAGGGTGCTATTCACAACGAGGAGAAAGATTGCGGAATTCTGTTGCAAAGTTTGAAATTAACTATGTGGTTAGTGAATATTTTGTCCATATCCTTTTTAATGAGCTCTCTAATTGAGATAACGCTTTGCTGCTTTTACCTTCACCTCTCCCCCTACCCTGTGAGGAGACTTAATTTGTATTTTTGAGCCATGGAGCTCAGTTTTTGTGTTGAAGACCGTTTGTAAACAAAGGTGGGAAGGTCCCATCATCGGATCTGGTCTCAGACACGCCAGTAAAGGTGGGATTTAAACTTTGCTTTAAACTGTGGCCAAACTCATATGAAAAGAAAACTAAAATCCATTCTTAAGCTTTAAGGTTGTCACTGAGAGAGAAGTGACTGTGTTAGAGCCATTGGGTTTGTCCTTCGTGTGTGATTTGTTTGCAGCGTGAGGGATGAGCTTGTGCAGCTTGGTGCAGCGGGCCTGAATTCCAGGTGAGGCTGCTGTTCACACTGATCTTTGTTCAGCCTGCCTCAGTGGGGCGACCAGGTGTGTGCTAGTGCAAATGCTTTAGAAACAAGCTGGCGGGCTCGGGTGCGCAGACCTGCCTGTGGATGGGGGAACGTCCTTCTCCCAAGCTCTGATAGGCCTGGCTATTCCTGTTTGCGGAAGCTGCTGCGCAGACTGCACGTTGAGGTCCTGCATTGCTACCCAGGGCCCTGCACGTGCTGTCACTTGGGGTGCCCCGACGCTGCTGTCGAGTCTCCTGCAGTTCCTTCACGGGCAGCGCAGGTTGTGTTTGTGTGCAGGATTCAGCTGGCAATCCAGCTGTCGACGTGCCTGTGCACGGAGGCAGTTTCAAAGGCGCAGTTGTGTGCGCAGTGAAGCAGCCAGACAGATGCAGAAGGCACTCGGTGAGTTTGTTTTCACCCTCCTCCCAACAGAAGCAACCTGCTTGTGCTGGCGGCACAGGCGCTCTCCGGCTGGGGAGGCTGCGCTGGCGCCTCCGGGGCGCTGGGCCGGGCCTGCAGCGTGGCCGGGCCGGCTGCAGGCGGACGTGTTGCACCACGCTGAAAAATAGTTATCTGCTGAGAGCACCGGCTTGACGTGGCTTCATTAACTCCCTGCGCTCCGGGTCTTGTAGTCCCTTCTGCCCTCTTTCATAGTGCACAGCATGCTTACAAAGCCCGTTCAAAAGCCTTCTGGTAGACTTTTGAAAGTGAACACTTTTAAAACTGAGATTAGTTGTGTGTTAAGCATTATTTGTACTCATGCTGCAAAGCAGAATGCATAGGGAAGGTTGGGATAGGGAGCTTGGCCTGCAGCCCCTGTGTATTTCCTTTGCGACAGCTTTTCCTCAGGCTAGGGCAATGCCTCAACCTGTTGCTGTGTGGTTGGATAAACGTTTTCCCAGAGTGCAAAGGCGCTAGGAAGGGAGGTGAGGAGAGTAACCCCCACCTGTGCATAGAGACAAACCCGGCTGCAGGTTCCCGCTGGTGCTGGGCCCTGCAGACGCCGGCCTCGTTTGTGTCTCCAGGGGGAGCGCACAGGCCAGGTTGCCACAGTGAAAAGTCTGGCCTATTAACACCCCATCCTGTGCTGGAGGGCTCCTTGTGAAATCCCCCTTCATAGGGACATGAGGTTTGCAGATCAAATTTGCTCGGTGTAGAAATAAAGGTAAGTTTGGGAAGCACCGCCCCGCAAAGGCGCTGGAGGGGCGCTCGTGCACGCGCGCTGTCCTGGCAGGGTCACAGGACTGTGCCCCAGTGACCGGTTGCCAAAACATGGACTTAGCTATGATACATTGGTCACAATAATTTTATTGTGTGCAAGGAGAAGGTTACAGGAGAGAAATAGCCAAAAAATGCTGCTCAAGTTGACAGGCATGCCTAAAAACATGCAGGTGACAGGTTAATTAAGAAGCTTCCATGCTGTTGCTCCTGGGCATGTACATTTTTCTCTAAATTTGCAGAGTCTAAAAATTGCAAATGGGGAATTTTCTCAGTCTTTTTTTGTTTCTTGCTCCTCTTTGTTTCTACATCAGCTGGGTTGGTTTAATGTTTCTTCTCTCTTCAGAAGTGGTTGTTTTGACCTCCAGGGGGATTTTAGATGGTTTGATTTGCACTTCCCTGCACACTTTGCACTTCCCTGTAGTGCAAAGGCACCTTACACACCTAAACTTGCTTTCTGATAATCTCTGTGGAGGGCACATCCCTGTGCTCACCATTCACTGCATCTGAGCTCCTGCTGTGAGAGATTTCCCTGCTAGAGCAAATAATCATTTGTAACAGAAGCAGGCTCTCTATTTCTGTCACTGCTCAGTCTCAGCTGATACTCTCCTTTGCTTAAAGGTTTTAACAAAAGAAATTCAAACTATGGTCTGGAGATATGGCTTACCTTGAGCTGAGCTGGTTACCACTAAAGAATAAAACCAACCAACCAAAATTAAAAAAAAGTTTCTGCTGCTTTTAAGAGGACTTCAGAGAGCTCATTTGGTTATGAGCATTTGCACGTGCAGGTACATGGGTTAGGTGACACGGGTGTTGATCCCAGGGCCCAGCTGCAGGGACGAGCCTCTCTGGGCTGGGAGAGGCTTTGGCCTTGGCAGCGTGTGCCTGGGCACTGCCGGGAGGCGCAGCTTGCTGCACCTTGGCCAAACAGCCGCCCAAGCGAAGGCCAAGGCTGCAGCCCATGTTTTCAGCGGGTACGTCTCTGCAGGCCCAGGTCAGGTGGAAAGCAGCCGCGGGGCATCAGCAGGGCCTGCCCGAGGTGCCCTCTCGCCTCCTGCGCGCCAGGGCCGGCTCTGGCAGGACTCTGGCACAGCGGCACTTGCAAGGAGAGAAGGCACCGGTGCAGTGTGCGCCGAAGCCCCAGCCTAGCTGCGTTGGCTGCCATTCTGTGCAGCTTGGGCCTTGCTTGCTGCACCAGGGAGGGAGGTGCAACAGCCAGAGCAATGATCCTTTTCTCTCTGCCCCTCACCCTCCATCCTACGCACGCAGACTCGGGTGACTCCCAAGAGGACCCGTGACACAGGGTTCTGCCCTATGGTTTGTGCTAAGCATTGGATAAATTTGTTGTTGCGACATTGCTGATCTATGACCTACTGAATTCTTTTACTGCAGACCGAATTTGGCGCCACATGGAGCTCTTGAGAATAAACATTAGGAAAGGTTTGTGCCCTTTCTCTTTCCTAATCGCTACATTACCAAAAAAAAAAAAAAAAAAAAAGGCTTACATTAAATCTTTCAGGAAAAGAATCTTGCTGCGCTGTTGTTTTGGCACTGACTGGTTTGGAGAGGGAAGGGTTTTTGGCATGAAGGTTAGGGGGCACATGAAAAGGAAGAACAGAGTATCTGCCTGGGTAAGAGAACGTTCTGCGCGGGAGCTGGTGAATGATTCCTGAACTGCAGCGCTGTCTCCTAGAGAGAAATAATGGGATCTCCTCCCATCTGCCGCCCGTGCCCTGGCTCAGGGCCCTGCAGCCCCTCGCGGCCGCGCTGGCGGCGGGGAAGCCTGGCCCAGCGCAGGGCCCTCGGCAGAGGCCGCCGGAGCCGCGGCCGCTTGCCCGGGTGGGAGACAGGAGCTCTGGCGGCAAGGCAAGGCAGGCGGCTTCCGCGCCCCGGGAAGGCCCCATGGTTGTGGAGCGCTGGCAAGCCCAGCCCTGCATCCGCGCTCATTCTTCCCAGAGCTGAGGGAGAGTAGGGGAGCATGAGCAGAAGAGAAGGGGCTGCAGTGGTGCCTGGGCCCTGCCAGCCACTCGGGCCCCTCAGCACTGCCCTCCCACAGAGTTCCTGTGCGGCTGCCCCCACACGTGCTCACCCAGCTAGCAACGGGGGTGAGTAAAAGCAGTGCTGAGGGAGAGGGGCAGCAGGACCCCCACTGGGAAGGGAAGGCTCCCTGCGCTGCATACACATCCATGGTGGGTGACACTGCCCCGCATCCTTCCTGCTCGGCTGGCAGCTCCAGCTGTGGCAACTGTTTGGGGCTTTTTATTGAGAAGCAGCACTATGGGATAATGTTATGGCACTTGTCATCCTTAACATGCCTGCCATGCCTTGGCAGCGAGTGCTTGCAGCGCAGCATCCGGAGGCCAGGCAAAGATTGCCTTTTAAGGCCAGGAGCCACTATGAGAATCCAGAAGAAAAAGTTTCCCTGGCATGTAGGGCACATTCTTCTTTCCTCCTCCTCTTAAATAAACTATTAGTAACTTTTAAAAACAGAACAAAAATGAAGCAGCAGGGCCAGAAATGCTGCCAAAGACATTTTATTCTGTGCAGCTCCCTTAGTGCTGCAGTGTAACTGTGGGCTCCTGGAATCAACTCCCAGAGCAGGAGATGGGATGAAACTGAGGTCATAGGGGTCTGTTCCAGACCCCGTGCAAGAGGGAATCAGAAGGGAGACAGCTTAAAATGTTGTCTCTTCATCTTCTCCAAGCCCTGGAGAAATAGTCTAACCACAGTAATCTGAACAATTCCCTCGTAGGACAGAGTGGAATTTGTGCTGGCTTGCTAACACCTTGCAATACCTCCCTGCCCTGATGATTTTTGTTTCTTTCTTCCCATCCTGACTGCGAACGGGTATGTCCAGGGTTCAGGGCTGAGCTGGGCTCGGCTGAAGAGCCAGCAGGGATGGGGGCCGTGCTGAGCGCAGCAGCGGGGAAGAGCAGTGCTCATGTTCAAGTTTTCTTGAGAAATGGGCAAGTTTACAACGGTTAGAGGAGGCTGGTGCTGCTGTGGGTCTCAAGAGGGCTGCCCTTCCTTGAAAAAGGAAGAACAACTACAGTAATGTTCAAATGAAACACCTAATTCCCTTGTTCTCACTAGCTTACAATTAAATTTTGAGAGACCTTAATTTTAGCAAGTGACTTTAAGGTGCGTGGGGCTTTTTAAGTTTTCAGTCCTTGTATTTATCTGAGCAGAAAAACTCTGTCGATGGCTGTGGAAAGCTGGACGGCTGCAGTGCGGGCATGGACAGCCCTGCCCTGTAAACACTGCCGCGACCTCCTCCTCCTCCTCCTCCATTGTTCTTGGTGGCGCTTGTGCCTGGGAGTCGTAACTTTGAGCTCAGAACTGTTTCCTTCCTGCTGTGGACGGGATCTGAACTGCCAGGATAGAGCAGAAGGTTCCCAACCAGAAACCAGCTGAGAGCTTCTTGCCAGTAAAGCACCTACAGGAGGGGGAAAAGGAAGGGGGCGGGGGGGAGAAGGTAGCAGCTAATGAGTGGATCTGGTAACTGCTAACTTGCATTTCCTTATAAAGCCTTTATCTGTCGTGGGTGGCTTGGACTTTTTTTCCCCATTGCAAAGAGTGCAGTAGGAGGTGAGGAGAGCTCTTGTTTCAAACCTCTTACTCTGCCTCAGTTCCACTTACCTATTTGATTCCTTACCCAGAGAAAGGAGAAGTTCAAATGAGAAAATCCAATGTGACTTCGATGCTGAATTACTAACCCTTTGTGAGTTTTCTCTGCTGCAGAACACACAAATGTGAACGTGTGTGTATATTTATATATATATAAATATATATTATATATATATATAAAATATAAAGACTGGCCTATGAGTTGCTGTTGAAGTGCTGGCTAACAGCCCCTCTAATTCTCTAATTCTACATTGGCTGGTGTTTAAAGACGCCAGCCCCCATCCTCGCGCTGCCAGGAAAGCAGATTTTGGCAGGAGGCCTTCACGCTTCTCTGCTTCATCTACGGAGGATATTTTAAAACATAACTTTTCAAAGAGAAAGGAAAAATTGCATGATGATAATTAAAGGCCAGGATGATTATTATATTCAGGAGTTAAGTAGTATGGAGCGCAGCCGGGTAAGGTAACTGTGGTGGTGGTGTCACTTCATCTAATTCTCAGGAGACTGGAAATTCTCCACAAAAACATTTTCGTTGGGAATGTGGCACTTTAAATGGCAAGTTTTCCGCATGAATTGTGGTGCACCACTTAGATTACTTGAAAAGAATCCCCCAAAACTTCAAATGACTTCCATAATTTGGTAAATTTTCTGTAAATTGTCTTATTTTTTCACTTTTTTTTTTGATGCTGTTTTCTGAGTGTTTCTCAGTTGCAGGCTTTTAATTTGCTTTCACCAACTCTGCCTAAATTGAATAGATTATCTCATTTTGAGGTATACTTCCTTCTAGGCCAAAGAAGCATCTTTGGCTTGTAAAGTTTGTAAAGTTTATAATCTTTTCATCCCCATTACATTAATTTAATATGGCATTTGAAGTGTTGATTTTTTGTTTTGCTTTTGTTAAAGTTTGCAAATGGGAAGTCAGAGGGCTGCCATGTCAGGCTGTTGAACCTGCTCTGTTGCTTTCCTTTGGAAAAATCAACGTGTTTGAGAGCTGGTCCCAGCCTGAAACAATTTTTTTTTTTTTTAAACTTTTCAAAGTTACAGTTATATGTGGTGCTTATTTCTAAAAACACTTTAATGCACACTTAACAGCAACACCAGTGATTTGGATGTGAAAGAGAGAAAGAGGAAAAAAAAAGCCTTTCTCCTCAGGCTGGTTAGTTGGGGCGGGAGGTAGGACAGAAAATCATAATTGAAGCAGCAGGATTTATCCTTCAAGAGAGTCGTGTTTTAGATATAGTCTAAGAAACTGTAGAGCTTGCTGCAGATGGCAAGATGCTGTATGTGTGCTGGATAGCTGGTTGCCTTTGGACCCAAGGAGTCCTGTATCGGTTTGGAAAATCTTAAAATTGCAAATGATCAATTTAATAAGCTTAGCATTTAGTAAATCACTAATATCTCCTGTGTGGTCAAACTTATAATAAAATAAGCTTATACAACCAAAAATACAGATGCCTTGGAACAATTCCAAGGTAATGTAAACTAAACTGGGTTATGAAACATATCCACTCAGATCTATTTAAAAACGCTTCCTCAGTTGTATCGTTTTGCTCCCTATGTGTTACCAAACAAATCAGAACTGAAATGTGTCTCTTATTCACAAGAAACTTTGAACCTTACCGAGTTTCTACTGTGAAATGGCGATAATGGTTTCATGCTGTGGTATTAAAACTGAGTTAATGCCTGCATAGTGCTTTGAAGATGCTCCAAGGTGGTGGGGTTTTTTTAAAGAAAAAAGTACTGGGCTTCTGATCAAGAAGGAAATAAAATGGAGGTTAGAGAAGGCTCGTGATTAACTGAGATGGGGAGGATGCCCAGGCCCTAGGCATTCTTACCCCATCCAAACAAAGCCGCCAGCGCAGGGAGGGCCCCTCGTGGCCCTGCCGGCTGCTCCCTGGCTGCACTTGCGGTCTCCGTGTCCTTCTCCGGTGGGATGCCCACCAGCTTCCAGCCACTTGTTTGGTTGCTCAGCAAGGTGCAGGGCGGGTAAGGAAGCCCAGCTTGGAGCAGCAGAGCTGTAATGCATGTCCTGTCTCTTGCTGGAACCGACTGTTTGACCTTCTTTGTAGACATGTAGTCACTCAAGCGACCTCTGTTGTGCATCTCCCATCACTTTTCCTTCTCTGCTGCTTCCTCTTGGGGTGACTTGGTCTGTTGCAGCATGTTCAGTTGAGTGCCTAAAACCAAACAAACCGAATCTTTTCCTGGGAGTTATCTGAGGAATTTGTTTGTGCTCTGGGTTACCTGTCAATAAAAGCTGCTGAGCGGTGTTTCCTTGGATTCCCTGAAGATTTTCTTCCCCTTAATTAGTAGGTAGGCAGAGCTGGACAGGTTTTTAGTCTAACCTCTTGGATGACCTCTGCCAAACTGCTGTCTAAAAGCTGCTCCTCTAGCTGCTCTGGTGACGCAGTTGACTGACCTGTGAGTGCTAAGACATTTTTAGCAGAGTTCTCTTGAAAGACATAAGTAAACAAAGCAATCAAGGCTTAATTTTGTTTCAGTGCCTATAGGAACAATATAAATTGTTTTGAAAGGTACAAGACTTTTTGTGTGATAAGACATTTAGTTTTCTAGTAAATTTCTACAGAAAATGGATTCGGTTTTCCTGAGTAGAACAGTAAATTATAATGTTTAATCATTTCTGCTTTTACCGAAAGCAGCCTGAGTGAGCTGTTGGGGAAATGCTTCTCCATGCTCACTGATACATTCTTCACCTAGAAAGGTGAAATGAAAACTTTAGGAAGGGCTATTAAATGTTATTACTCAACAGTAAGTAACACAGGGAATAAAGGATGATTCTCTTGGCATGTTTGGACTTGGTTCCAGGTAGATGGTGTTTTCTTAGGGGCCTCGGAAGCTTTTCTGAACCTGGAGGGAGGGCTCAGAGCGCAGGGGCAGGCAGGCTGACTTCTGAACTTTAAAGTTTTGGATAACTGCAGAAATTGAGAATGTCAAAGTGTGCACTTTGGTTTGTTCAGAATGCAGAACCTACTATTTGTTGACTCTTAATAGCATGTAATCATGTTTCTGTGTCGTCTCCGTAGTGCTGTAACTCTAGTTCTGTCAGCCTGTAAGAAAACACTTGAGCATTGACAGCTTCCAAACTAAAGCCACAATTCTATGCTGCAGCCTTAGCACAATGCTATTAATGTTAACCTGAAGTTACAATGTGAGCTCAGTGTACAGGAAGGAAGGAACGTGGTCCTGAACAACTCAAAATTTGGTGTTTTCAAGACTGGATTTTTTTTTTTTTTAATGCCCTTTAGGCTCTGTAATGTCCAATCCCACTGCATTCAGGTCATGTGTATCTGCTGATAGAAACTATTTCTGTGGTTCTGCTTTAGCCCTCAGCAGCTGCAAAAGATTTAGAAAGAAAAAAAGCAAAAAGGATTTGTGCTGCAGATGGTGATTTGACATTCAGCTATCAGTAGTGTGAATAAACCCTTTGCTATCAGTGACTGGGTATTTTAGAGCTTCAGTAATGATGCACATCAGCCAGGTATTATTTTGTTTCTGTTTGTATTTTAATAGCTGAGGAGCTTTGGGAAGCGGCACGTTTGAAATGCTCCAGTTCCAGACCGGGCAGTTGTGGAAAGACTTTGAGCCTGCTGAAAGGCTGAGGCGGCTGCATCGCTTGCAGCAACGAGGGGGGTCTGAGCCGGGGAAGGGGCCTGGGCAGGGATGGGGCAGACGCGCTGCGCTTCTGCTCGCTGACAGGCTCCCTCAGCCCGGCCGCCTGGGCCCCTCCTGCGGTTTCCCTCCACGTCCTGGCTCTGTGACAGAGCGTCTTTGACCTCTTGGTCTTCCTCTCCCCACCTCCTCTCAGAAAACTGCTCTTGGCTGACGTGGCAGCATTGCTCTGCCCTGACCTCGCTTTAAGCGTCCTGAAGTACAGCAAAGACCCAGAGGGTGTTCTAGCAAAATATTTCTCATCGCTTTCCTCCCCAAATGTTTTAATGCAGTTGGTCAAACCACTCTTTCAGATTGAAGTACTCTGCATGTTGAGAGAGCTATAACCCTTTTCTGTTTCTTGAATAATCAACTTACTCCAGCATGCCTGACGCCTCTCAAAAAACCCTAAGCAAAAGGTAACCAACATTTTTTTTTTTTTGAAAGGCTATTCTGCATAGCCCTTGCTGCTGCCTGCCAGAGGCCCAGCAGGTGTGAAGATGCTGTACAGAATGTGCCAGGCCTCATTTCGGCAGCGTAGGAGCACGCTGGCCGGTGCATGGAGTTAAGCAAATCAGCGGCCTTGAGTATTTTTTTTTCTAGCTCAGGGCCAAGTACCTCGTTCCAGCCGGATTTATGCTGATTACTGTCAGGATAAGGTAGGGTGAAGTCTTAGCAATGGCATTCCTGAGGAAGGAAGAGGTCAAAGACATTGCTTCATCTGGTCTAAAGTCAGGCTACAGGCTATTGAAGGAAACTGTTCTTTTGAACATAACCTTTTGAAAATAACCTGAGAATTGTCCAGGTTATTTTGTTAAATAAACCTAGGAAAGAAATTTCATAAGCTCTGTTTGAACAGGAATGAACTGGAATGTCTTTCTGTGGAAACAAAAGGAATGGTCGCAGGCGGGCAAGGAGAGCTGTGTGCTGAATTGTCTTTTTAAAGATGTGTTTCAGTTTTCATACTGTGTGTGTACCCTTGGAGCAGGTGCTCTGTGCAGCAGACATCCTTCCTGAACCATTCATTTCCACATTGCCTCTTGGAAATGAAGTGGGACTCTCTTCCTCTTACCAGAAACCTCCGGTAGCGGTTTCTGCACATCTGTGGTTTATAAAAATATGGCAAGTGGCTGAGCATGAATCATGCCACTGCTGTCGTGACGGTTTCCTTGATCTGCCCTTGGGATGGCTTTCCTGAAGACTTGAAGTCCATCTAGTCTTAAGTTACTGGTTAGGGAGAAGTATGATGAGACTCAATGCGGAAGTTCAAGAGAGCTCCTGAGTATGCCAAGGAGATAACGCATTTTGCGGAATGTGGTCTGTCTGCTTTTGAAAATCTAAGTGGAAGGTTATTTCATCACACAGCTCTACCAGTAGCCATTTGTTCCACATTTTGGAGGGTTTAAACTGGATCTTTCTAGCATAAATATACTGGAAGTTGAGAAAGTCTGTGTTATTGTAGTTAACAGGTTCTTGTTGGATTCATAGATGATCATTTCTAGAGGATTTGTGGTGTCTCAGACATTGCAGCGCTGCAGGAGGGCCATAGCTCTGACTCAACAATGCCAGTAAAGTTGTGTGGAAAGAACATTTTCCACCTGAGAAGCATCTTCTTGCAGCAGTCTGTTTTCTGGGTTTCTCAGGCTCCCAGTCTGCAGGTGAAGCTGAGATGCTGTTAATACACTTTGATTAGAGTAGCTCCCCCGGCACAGAGCCACTCTGCTGTCACCACTTTTCACGGGCATAAGGAAAGGCTGTCACTCTCCCAAATAATTTGCTAAGCTGACAAGATAAAAGGATGCAGTGATCGAACAGCTCAGTGTGACGTTTCTTATGCCATTCAAAATTTTCACAACTACTTGAGAAAGAGGGTGATTTCAAATAAACTTTTTTCTAAAACTTTGTTTTGCTTTAATAAAAGAGCTAGAGGAGAGAAGGCAGGAGGAGCAATATAAACACAAATATGTGAGTTGGAAGAGTTTGGCTAAGCCGATTCGTTTCAGGTTACCATGGCAGTTCATCAGCAGGGAAGGTAACCTGTCTTCATCTTTTGCAGGAAGTCCAAGGGAAAGCCAAATGGGAAAAAGCCAGCACCGGAAGAGAAGAAACTTTACCTAGAGCCAGAATACACAAAATCCAGAATTACTGACTTCGAATTCAAGGAGCTAGTGATGTTACCACGAGAAATAGACCTCAACGAGTGGCTAGCCAGCAACAGTGAGTCCTGTGAATATACCCTTCTGTCCCCACCCAGAAAGGCATTCATTAATTGGTCCTGTGTGTTCCCCTCCCCAGTTCCCCCAACTGTTTTTGGTGCCTAGAAGAGCACTCGGTGATTTAGGCGTATTCCATAATGCGTGTCATTACACCTTGAGTAGTAATTAAGATGTCTTGCTACACTCCAGTGTGCTCAGCAGTATGGAGGTCTTGATATATTTCCTCCTTCCTACTCCCTTGCTGTGACATTGAGGGCATCAAAATGTTGAGTGTTCTTTTGAGGATCTTCACTTTCCTTTGAACTATCAGCTAAACCTGCTCGTTCAACATATTCTTGAGTCAAGTCATTGGTTTTCCTGGACTGTAAAAACAGGCAGGTTATTGAGACCTGTATATAAGGCAAGTTATGCTCTGAAGCAGCCTTTTGGATGGATTTCTTCTCCCAGACCTTTCCAAGCTGTGGTGGCATTATTGTGAATCTGAACTGCAGTCAAGCTGGAGCTCAAAGAAGTGACTGACCAAAAAAAGATTAAATACCCTCACTAAATGCTGTATAAGTTGTCCTATGTATCTCATTTCTGATTTGCAACACTTTCCTGTGCTTCTGCCTCATTTGGCAATTTCAACCTGCAGCTATGAACCAGTCCTACTTAAAATTTCAACAGTATGCCATAGCAGCAAGAAATTGCTTTAAACTGCACACTAGTGAAGTATATAGACACTCCTAAAGAAAAGGTAAGGTGCCTCTAAGGAGTATTAACATGACAAATACCTTAGGAGATTCTTGAAGTGAAATGTAATAGTTTTCAAGATATTATTTTATTTTTTTTTAAAGGAGGTTTGTCATGAGAACTAATAACATCATTTTTCCAGCTACTTCTAAACTGTGCATTTCAACTGTCCAACTTCAAAAGAACTCAGTAAATGGCTTGCCTTCAGCCTAGAGTATTTGACTGTGAAGGTGAGGCTGATGACAGAGGCACTTTCCAGTCTAGCTGCTTAGTGAGTAATGAGAGCTGGTGCATCATGGTGCTTTCATCTTAAATCAAAACAAGAGCTCTCTTTCTCTCTACCTTTTTGTTTTGCAGTTCATCATTAGACTCATTTAGCTAAATCATATTTAAATGTGTACGCAAGCTCAGGGCTCTTTAAGTACACTTCACTTACTCTATTTAAATAATTGTCTGGGGGGACAATCAGCATTTGAAAGTATTTTACACTTACAGATTTCCTTCATGTTTATTTTTCAGCAACAACTTTCTTTCATCACATCAACTTGCAATATAGTACAATCTCGGAATTCTGTACAGGAGAGTCGTGTCAGACCATGGCAGCGTGCAATACGTAAGTCACTCCACGCTCCGTATTTTACTGTTACAGGGTTTTCATCACGTCTTGGGAGTTGCTTGGGGATGAACACTGGTATTTGATGGAGTTGGGCAAGTGGGTTAATCTCTGTGCTGAGTGAGGATGCGGCAGCTGCACGTGCTCTCCTGCCCAGGGAAGGGTGGTGGAAATGGGCTTTTGTGGAGGCCTTGTGTAGGTGTCATTTATGAAAGATAGCGCTATAGTTTTACTGTACATGGTGAATATGAGAAAGGGCCTGTAGACTCCTGCTCTTGATGAGCAGAGTCGTCCAGCATAATTGTCCATGAAATCCAGTCCAGGATGAATGAGCCTGTTGAATGAGCATTTGCTGATAGTCCCATTCTTTCCTCCTCTTGCATTTCCTGGGATCCGTTTAATTCACCGAAAGCTGAACAGTTCATGTCGTACATCAAACATCCCAGGGGATGCACACAACAAAGCCAGACCTCTTTTCCAACACTAATTATGAAGTGCTTAAAAAGAAATTCTTGCTTAATGCTTTGGGCTGTCTTATGTTTGATAATAGTATCAGGAGCTTTGATAGCACTTGGAGGAAGGTAAAATATACTGAGGATGTTTTTGCATATAAGAGCTGGAAAGATAACTGTAGGTAGAGAATTAAAAGTCATTCTAAGGACTTAAAAAGCAGGTTGGAACAGAAACAACTCTGCTTACTAGGCCCAGATTTTATCAAAAGTAGATGACACATCCCTAAATAAGAAATGATGATTAGGAAAATGAATATTTTGTTAGCACTCGCTCCCAAGCTTTCTTGTGTTTTAATTCCTGCTGTAGCACTAGCTGTCCCTAGGATTCAGCCTAGCTGCTTATTTGCTTGTCTAACGGGAAAAGTGTCTGAAGGAACGTGGTGCTCTGGAAGCTGTGTCTGTCAGCCCTGCCCCATTCTGCTGCAGCGAGTCTTAAACAAGTGTGTCTGAGCATAAAGAAAGGAAGTTCCTGCAGGCAGCTCCAGCTGTAGGCTTTATTTTTAGAGGTGAGGACTGATAGCAAACTGTTGCTCTCCTTTGTTTTGGAAAACTGAGAATTGTGCTACTTGGGAATAACAGGAAGCATGTGTGTGCTTGGGTGAACACTTGAAACAGGCTGTATTTAGCGAAATTGCAATAACCTAAATTGCAGCAACTGAAGTATCTTCCTGTACTTGGGTGTAGATGACTGATCATGTTGGCAAACTGCAGGCTGCGTATTTTGTTCTTGTCAGGTGTCTGGTTTTATAAAAAAGAAAAAGACCCCACTACAACAGGTGCAGTGATCTAGGTACTCTGTGCTTCAGCACAGGTCAGCTTCAAAGACCCTGTTCATAGTTGGGTTCTCTAAGTACCCTGACAATCAATTTTGGATAATCCTTATCTTTCTTTTCTACCTATCGTAGCTTTAGCCCTTAAAACAAATATTGTAAAATACTTGCTGAATCTCATTTTGACAATGATAAAGCTCTACGTGTTTTTTTTTTTTTTTTTTTTTTTTTTAATCTTGCTCTAGAGAAGAAAGATAAGCAGATGTTTGTTGTTCTGGAGAAACACCACTTGATGCCATTTATCCTATTGCTGACCTACCTCCAGTTTATCGAGGGTAGACCTAAGCATTAGAGTTGATGGCTCCTTTATCTAACAGACGTTCCAGATTTGGCCTTCTAAGACCACACGATCTGTTTGTTTAAATAAGTTCTCCTGGAAAAAAATGCCAGCATCTACGTAGATCAGGTTTGCCGCAGTGGTGCAGTACCTAGGAGGAGGGGTGCAGGCTGCCATTATTACAGCGCTGGTTTGTTATGTAGGTCAGTGCCGAATTTTGCCTTCTGTTCCTTTCTTATACCTTCCTTGTCCAGCTTCCTAAAGTGTGTTTTAGATCCCACATTTCTCATCTTGCATAAGGACGATGTATTTATGATCAAGATGTGGAAGTAACTATGGAGAACAGGTTGCTTGTTGACTTAGCTTGTATTCAAAGACCGTAGAAAATACCCAATCTTCTAGTTCTTGCTGTCTTTGTTACAGGATTTGCTGGTAAAATAAACACTGGTCACACTGAAATAGTTGAGGTAAATTTGTAACCTCCTATAGAGGCTGCAGCCAACTGACAAACTGCAGATAGATGCAGCTCTCAGCTCAGTCACGATTTATAACACAGCACAGCTATCTTTAAAAAATGAGGAAGAAAATGCCTTTTCAGGGGTCAGTTAGACATTATGGATAGAAGCTAGTCCATTAAATGGAAGTTTTTTTGCTGGGAAGATGGAATAATGTTGAGAAGTACCAGAAAGGTCAGCTGTTTTAAACACTTGAGGATGGCCAGAATGTAGATTTAAGAACCACTTCTTTTGCTTGTTAATAGCACCTGCTTTAGAGCAAGTGATAATCTTTAATGCTATTTTTACTATTTATATTCAGTATGTTTTATTATTATGCAGACTACTTAAAAAACAATTTTAAGTTTACTGCTATGAGCTGTAAATTGGTTTTCTAGCTGACCAAAGCGTTTCAAAAGTGCTTGCATGAACTGAGTACCTAAGAGCCTGCGTAAGCACTGGTGAGATTACAAAACTCCCCAAGCAGAAATCAAGGAAGGATGCAAAATTTTAAGCAGGCTACTGATAAGAGTGTTGTTAGCTATCTCATTTCTATCCAGTGAAATCCCTTAATCGATAATTCTCCTTGTCCACTCTTTTCTTTTTTCTAATCTTAGGATCTCTTTTCTGTTGTTTATCTTGAAGTTGGCATCTCTGCATTATAGAGGTTATAAAATCTTAAAAAAAAAAAAGTCAAATTTGCATGTTTTGCATTTTTTCCTCTGTGACTACTTAGTCACAGACTCATTTTTTTTGCTAAATGTCGCTTTGTCTCCTTATCATACCATCAAAATTACTTCAAGGTGCTGACAGCCACCCTATTGCTGCCCTTGCATTTCGTACATCTGTTGCCCTGTTTCTTCATAATGCGTCTTCCCAGGATTTTCTAGGAAGACTAGTTCTCCCTCCATCCTTTCCAGAGGACACGCTCCAGCATGTGCCTCTCACTGCTCCAATGACCTTTTCTTTCTTAACTACTGATTTCAACTCTGTTCTGCTGAACTTCTATGTATACAGTAGCAACTATGAGATCTTTTTTGAACTCATCAACTCCAAAGCAGTATATTTTGCAGGAAAGCAGATAAAAATACATATGTATATAATAGTAAATTAAGACGCACCATTGTGACTTTATATGTTTACCTACTGTTTGTATCATGGATTTTCTCTGTGAAACCTACAGTAATTTCTAAGTAGAGCTGCAAACTTCTCACGCGCTCCATAATTGGAATTTTAAATCGGCAAGAATTCTACATATTAAATAATTTATCCAGCTCTAAATCATTTAAACATTTTTCTGAAAGGTGTCTTTAAGTTGTCTTCACATCATCTGCTTCCCATCCATTGCCTAATTTGGGAATTGACTGTCACGGGGCCAGGCGTGGAATGTGCTTAGACGCCTGTGCCCAACTGAGCCCTTGGTGTCTCGTAATGGAGATAACGTGAGTGTGGGTGGGAGCCGCTTACCAGGCGAGACGTTCATGGCACGTGAGCGGTGCCTCCCTTTCTCCACGGCACGTGGTGATTCTGTCCACAGCACTGAAACAGGAGGAAAACAATTCTGATCAGCTATCCTCTGCTCTTAAATCTTAAAACAGTTCTCCTCTTAAATTTCTATTTTGCTATAATTAATTTTTAGGGAAAGGCACAAAGAGTGCTTATGGGAATGTTACAGCAGATTTATTCACTTTTATTTCATATATGTGCATTTACATAGTTGTCCAACTTCCTTTGGACTAAAACCAATTACATTCCTTTTTGTGCCTAAAGGCAACTCTAAGCTGTGCTATCTTGTAGTTAGTTAAGGCTTTCTGCAGCAGGAGAGAAATGCTGAGGTACAGATAGCTCAGTCTGCTTTTGCTCCTGGCAATAAGCATTGTCCCAAGACCCAAAGCAAGTCACACCTGCCTAGAACTGCTTAGCTCCTGTTTGTTGTAGACTGGACAGACAAACAAGGTAGGGATGGCGTGTGTTTGTATAGCCCCTTACACACTGATGGGATAGAGGAAGTAAGCAGTGATGAAATACATAGTGCTCAGCTAAGAGCTGTTAGCTCCTGCGGATTTCAAGCACTTGCTCATCTCTTTTTGTCCTTTAGCAGCAACCCTACCACCTTTTCTTAACGATGTAAGAATGACCAAGCATCTAATGCTGAAAAAAGTCTAAAGAAAAATTCTAAACTTCAGGTGTTTGCAGAATTGGATCTTGGTTGTGTTTCTTCTCTTACAGTTGAGCTATACTGATGATTTCTGTACTGTTTCCTCTGCTTGCAGGCATGAACAATATTGTTAGTTTCCTGTCTTGTCCTGTCCCCATGCCCCCCTCTAGTCACTGAAGAATCTTTAGGGCCAAGGGAAACAGACCATAAATTACAACTTATCGAAGAGTTAACATTTTCTCTTAGTTGCTTCATGACTTTTCTGCTGGTCGATCCTTTCAGTTCAAAGTATTCCAGTCCTTTTATGCACAGAAAAAAAAAAAACCTTTTATTTTCCATACAAAATTTAAAAGCAACTGTGCTCAAAGGTGGCTAGACTTCCCACTGAAATGAAGTCTGTTTAATCCTTTCTGAAATGCGACTTGTGTGAGGAATGTCAGATAACGGGTCCTTAGTCAACAGCGTAGGGCTGGAGGCAGACGGGCAGGCAGAAAGCAGCAGCCCAGCTTGGCAGGGATGTGTGTAGGAAGTGGGAGGGAGGGGGCCTTATCTTCCTAGCCAAGCTCTGAGCCTTAAACCACTCCTAACCTTGCTTCCGAAGCGGTTAGCAAATCCCACCTATCCTGTGTTCTGAGGAAGGCCAAGACAATGGAGTTCTCAGCAGCCTGCAGTGATACGGGACGGCACCCGGGGCTTTGGAGCCTTTGAAGGAGGAGTTCGGGAACTGGAACTCAGACATCTCTAATGGGGTGCAGGCAAAGAAAAGGTCTTGCCAAAATCTTTATCTACAAAAGCTTTCTCACTGCAGGCCTAGAGCAATGGATAGTAGTTCTGCCTGCTAACACTTTAAAGGTATATAAATTAACCATGATAAAAAAAAACAACAGAAATAAAATTTCACCACTCTTCTAGCTTTCAGATTCCCCTCTGTTGACAGCAATACATTATTAGAGAATGTTGCTGGTGTAGTTTGATGGCTGCTGTTAATCAAGATGATTACAGCTAACTGTTTGAATTAGCTACCGTTGAAAGGCTAACTGCTGACAGCATTGTATTGTCTTCGGTTCCTTAAGACTCCAGAAGATTATTCACTAGTGGCGGAGTTCAAAGGTAAATGTGGGAGGTTGTAAGCAAAGTAATAGGGTTCTGAGGCACAATGGTAGACATATGCAAGACTCTCCTGAAAACTTTACCAAAATTGGTTTTTGAAACAGGATTTATGCCATTTAGAAGTGCTGCAGGTGCCTCAGTCCTTAAAAGCTGGTATTCTGGAGCCACCTTCTGTCTGTTTAACATGACTACGCTACAAGACTAAGTTATGTTTTGTAGTGCTAGATAAGTGTCAGAAGACCATGGATTTATGCCTTAGTATTGTTCTTTTTGAGTAGTGATAATGTTTCCTCCAGGTTTTATACACTGTGGCCCCTCGATCTGTGGTTTTCATTACCTCAGAGAGGTTAGTCTGTGGTAAGAAATCTACCTCCCCAGATGGTTTTCAGCCCTCTGCAGATTTTGTCTGCTGCCGAAGGTGCCACTTGAGTGGAAGTAGAGCTCCTCCCTGTGGACACTTTCCAGAAGCTGCCTGTGCTTGATAGGGAGAAACAACTGGCTAAGAGAAATCAGGGCTTCAGATGTAGAAAGACACTGAAGCAAATCTCTTCTGCAGCAGGTATGAACTATTTTGGTAATGTGGTAGCTATTGCTTTTTATTATTTAAATACTAACCTCATCAGAGTTGAGCTGAGGTGGTGTAAATGTGGTGACATTTTCCATTCTTTCCACAGACAGTACTACTGGTATGATGAGCGGGGAAAGAAGATCAAGTGCACTGCTCCTCAGTATGTTGACTTTGTCATGAGTTCGGTGCAGAAGCTAGTGACAGATGAGGACGTCTTTCCGACAAAATACGGTATGTTCCCCTTCGGACAGGTTTCTCCTATCAGTCTTTGCAGATGCTGCAAATAAGGTGAAAGTTGGCCTTCAGTGTATCAGTAATATCAGAGAACTTCCTCAAAAGCTTTTTGAAAGCTGGATGCGTACTTACAGTAAGACCTGCACTGTTGGCATATGAACGGGGATGAAATCGTGTGATGCTCGCTCCCTTTAGCTTCATCAGTACATCCTTTTCTCAAAACATTTTGAGATGTTCTAAGATCTGGTCTTGTCTTGCAGATTGTTTAAGCCCTCAGCTCCCCTCCAAATTTAAGAAAGAACTTTTTTTGAACTGAAAAGCATCAGAGGAATGTAATGTTAGCTCAAACTTGTAACCTAAGAAGTTTGCTCTGTGCAATGTCTTTGATTAAGGAAATAAAGTAGGTACCTATGGAAACGAAGTTACCACTGTCACTGAGCTTAATCAGGGCCTAGAAACAGCTAGCTTGAGTCCCTTCAATAGATCCCCGGAGAACTAGTATGTGCAAAACAATAAATACTCAGCTGGTATTCTTTATTTGTAAGCATCTGGATCTGGAAAGAGATATACAGTGCACTCTATGCTAGCTGCTGCCAACTGTGATTTCTTTTTTTGTAGCATATGCTTTGTAATTTGCTTGTTCAAGGACAATAAGAGTCTTTCACATGACTGCCTGACAGTGTGGCCAAGGTGCACTACAGCCGACTCGCACAGATCCTGCTGTGCATCACAGCATAGGGACAGTGACTTTTGCTTTTCTGTTTGCATGAGTTTTGTTTTCAATGTCACGAAACAGTAGCTGTTCAACAATGGGCATTCTGCTGCTTTAGCATGTACTATTTGGACTACACATGACTAAATACACCCAGCAGATTTTCTTGCTCAGTATTTCCTTCTTAACCTTACCCACTTGATAGAATTTCAGCAATGAGACGAATCAAGTTAGTTATATTAAGTTATGCTGATGCTGAATGCTACACCAAGCCTATATGCATTAGCTTCCATTGTACTACCTGTGAATTGGTTTCCAAAGTCTTTCTCTTCTCTATGGGAGAAACTTGCCATTCCTGGATGAAGACCTGAAACTACTACTCGTTTTTATAACCATTAACAGAAGTGTTGTGGTTTTTAAAGCATCATTATATTTGCTTCCCAATTTTTGAATCCTTAGGGCTTAAAAGATTAACTTCCAATGAAAATGCTTAAAACCTTAGATTTTTTTTTTCCCCTAAGTCTTGTATAAAGACACTATTTTGAAAGGGGTACAGTGCCCACAATCTGCCTGCTCTTCTAGATGGGTTAGTTGCACTTAACCTGCAGCACTTACCATCAGAAATACTGCTTTGGGCTGAAGGTGACCGGTCGGAACTCTCATGGTTGTCTCTCTGTCTTCTTGCAGGCAAAGAATTCCCAAACTCATTTGAGTCCTTAGTGAAAAAGATCTGCAAGTACCTGTTCCACGTGCTGGCCCATATCTACTCCTCACACTTTAAGGAGACTTTGGCACTGGAGCTGCACGGACATTTAAACACACTCTACACACACTTTATCCTATTCATCAGGGAATTCAACCTGGTGGACCCTAAAGAGACCACCATCATGGACGACCTCACAGAGGTCCTCTGCAGCAGCAGCAGCAGCGGGAGCAGCAGTAATGGGAGCGGCAATGGGAGCAGCAACAGCGCAGCAGCACAGAACCATGTGAAAGAGAGATGAGCCTTCCTACAGGATCAAAACTAACATTAAAGACAATATTATATATTTTGTATGTATATGTTCAGATATACATACAGGCATACACAACAATGAGAGCTGAAAGAAATTATGCTGCCACCACAGGACATGTAGTTGTATGGGACTGTATGGAGCTTTGGTTTAATGCCAGCTGGCGAGAAGTTGCACCAATCTTATTTTATTTTCTCTCCACTCCTTTTACTTGTTCAGATGGATGATGAGTGCTGTTTTTAGAGAAGAGCCAAGCTTGAGAGTGGGGCCACTCTTGTTTTTGTTTTGGTTTTTCTTTCTTTGGTCTTGAGTGCAAGCCCTCTGTCTTTCCAGGATGGTGGTCCTGCCATTTTAAAAATATCTATTATATTATAAGAAGTGACTTTTACTTTGAAGTGGCTTAAAATGCAGATTTATTTGTTTGTTTTTGGGGGCGGGGGGTTGTTTTTTTTGGTTTGGTTTTACATAGACTGCCCCTCCCCATGCCAAAAACTCCTCAGTCAAGTGCATCTTGCCCTTTGCTAGCTTGGAATGGGAAGAAACTCCTGGCTTGACTAGAGTAGCAGTTAGGGGCTTGCTACAGGTTGAGAGTGGGTGTGATCCTCCAGTTGTCCCCTCTACCTGGTCACAACCCGTGAACATGCGAGATGATCCACAAGCCTTTCTGCTTATTGCTCCTACACCATATATACTCTCCTCTCTGCTTCCCCCTGTCTCGCCTCCTGTTCCTGTGGGCACGCACCTCAGTGAACAAAAGCAGTAAGGATGCTCACTGGAGTCCAAGACTTATGTGCAAGGACCATCATCTGTTGCTTTCCAGTGAACGGAGGCCCCAGGGGGGAGAAGGGTACATTGGAGTCAGTCCACCACCTGTGCTAGAAAGATGGCTGTTGGCATAAAATTATATTGTTGGCTTATTTTAGTTCATCTGTTCTATAATAATAAAAACAAATCTATCAGCCATAAGCTTTGTTCTTGTGCTTGCAGCGTCAAAACTCTCTTTTACTGCTGAATGCTGTTGGTCTCATTTGCAACTGACTTGGGAAACAGTTCTGTTTCTTCCACCTCTTGAACTAGCAGTTCGAATCAATTCCTTACCCTTTCCATAGTGCTAGAAGATGAACTCCTCCCCAGGTAACCTGCAGACCTGCAGCTAGGCAATATATAGAAAAGAAGCGTAAGTAGCCTGTTTGGTTACATACTTAATTCTCCACGTGTAGTGAGCACCTAGGTATTTTGCAGAAGATATTGTATCGACCCAGAAAATGATACTACTCTTTTCTTCACGTTTCCATTGTTTTGTGACGGTCAGGATTTCCGGCTGGGAAAATGTGAGATTTTTTGATGAAACTGTTTCTACCAACTTTCTGAGAAACTCTTCAAACGGTCTCTGAGAGTTTTGCTTTGATGCTTTCGATAATTATCCTGAGGTACATGTCACTAATAACTGAGCTGTCATTAATCCTAGAAAGTTCTCTTGTATGAATTCTCTTAACTGTACAGTGAAAGTCAGTAAGAAGACAGAAAATAACAAGGGGAAAAAAAAAAAAGCCCTAGCAAGTGCAAAAGAGGGGGGAAAAAAGGAAAGAATGAGGGGAAAAAAGCAAGAAGTAAGAAAAAGCAAAGGAAAAGAGAGTAAGTGAAGTAAAAGTAAACAAGCAAAAGACGACATAAAAGGTGCAAGGAAAGGGAGAAGAAGCAGCAATGAGGAGGAGGAAAAAAGGAGCAAAGATGCATAAGACCGGGAATTAAAAAAAAAAAAGAGAATGAGGGAAAGGGACCTCACCTCTGCAAGTCCAAAATTTATCCACTGTCTGCAAATGGTTGTGTCTCATGTAATTGCAGGCAGACATCCACCTGCCCCATCTTGCTGACCTTCTCATCTGACCATCTCATCTTAACAGACCATTCTGAGAGCAGCTCTTCCCCCACCAGTCTCCTGTGCCGCCCCCATATGCAGATGCTCCCAGTCATTTTTCTGTTACAAATCACCCACACTGATGTCTGAAGGGAAAAGCTTAGTCATTCTTTGGCTTATCAGTGGTCAATAAAAGCCATCAATGAGATCAATGCCATTTCTAAGGCTTTGGGGCTGCTTGCCATCTGAGAACAAGCGCATATAGTGGAGTCCAATCACTAGTCTAATGTAAAAAAGCAACAGCAAGGACTGTCACCACAAAATAAGTTTCTTAGAATTAGTCAGATTCCTAAGTCTAAAAGGCTATTCAGACATACATTCAGGAAAGATTTTTACTTGGAACACAACAGCGCTAAATCGCTGATGAAATGACATGGCTGGAATGATGCTCAGTTTCACAGAATCGCTAAGACTGGAAGAGACCTTTAGTCCAAACTCCCATTTCCGCCCCCAGCCACACAGGATCACCTAGAGCACATGGCACAGGATTGTGTCCAAGGGAGTTCTGAATATGCCCGGAGACTCCACAAGCTGTGTTTCAGACCACGGCACTGGCGTAGGTAAGGTGCTTTAGTATAAAAAGAACTGTTAAGAGCCTACAGAATGACTGAGACCTCATTTTTTTTTTTTTTAAGCATCAAACCTAGTATTAATTCAGCTACCGGGGCGCAGTAATGTACCACATTACCTCTACAAGAGCAAACTTGGCTCACAGCTGCTGTGCTAAGTCCATCTGCAGACCACCACTGCTCTTGAAAGCAAATAATCTATCAGGATAGTATTTTTATATTTTACAGCTGGTTAAGGAGAAAATAAATGTTATTGTACTGTAGCCCATCTTTTTGGTTTTAGCAATAGGAATAAGGAAAACACTGAAACCAGTGCCAACACTAATGATGTTGTTCTTGTCAGGGTAAATGCTACTTAGAAAGATTCCTCCTCAAGGCATCAATGCATACATCAGCAGTTATTCAACTATAGTGCAGCAGCATTAATGAGCCAGGATCTGCTAAGTCTGCAAACCTGTTCTTTTGCACTAAAGATCATGCAAAACAGACCCACTGTCAAAAACAACAACAAAAAGCCCCATAAACAACTGCCTCCTTACCTCCCCAGATAAAGTACTCCATAAACGCTTGAAGGCATGAGGTGCAATGGACAACTGTTCTGATCATCTGAGGAGGGTGGGAGGAGAAGAAAAGAACCTTGGCAAGTGCTAAGAAGCCTTAGAAAACTGCCATTAGTGCTGCAGGACAGTAGTGTCACATGGTATACTTAGCCAGCTCTGTCAAAATATTTCTGAAAAACCTCCAAATTTCTTTCTGCTACAGGTGACAATAAAAGCTGCTAGGTCAGGGAGGGACTCTTTCTTTATTTCTACCCTGCCTTACCAGCTCGTTCTATAATCTGACAAGAACCAGCTTCATTCCAACCCTACGAAAGGAAGTTGGGAGTAGCAGGATGTAAATCAAATTTACTAACATCTAATTTGCACTGCAACAATCACATATACATGCCTATTTCTTGACTGAGAACTGTAGAAAATTAAATAATCAAGTCTGAGGTACCACAAATGTTGTTGTTGTACTATGAGCAACAGTCTTTAACTGAGAAGCTAGAGAAAACTCACTTTGTTACCAAACGCTGTCTTGATAAGCATATCTAAACACAGCTGCAATTTGGGTCTGAGCTATTGCCAATTCTATCCAAATGTGCACACACTAGGCTGCTACTGGAACTGATCTGTGGCCTGAAGGTGGACATTAGCCTATAGTATCTCCTGGACTTTTATTAGGCAACTAAAAGTCTGTCAAAGAAACAAGCGATAGCACACACACACAAAAAAAAAACCCCACAAACAAAAAACCACACCACACAAGCCAACACTATTGGAGCTCACTGAGACTGTTGAACTCATACAAAACCACACTTGACAACACTTCACTAACAGCTGTCATGGACTTTGTCCAATCCATAGCTCGCTATTTCATCTTACTGAAAGATGAAACTAAAATCCAGAAATACATTTCCATTATCTATGCTGAGGACACAGAAAGAGGCTGCTGTTCTATGCCCCAACCTCCTTAACAACGGAAACGTTTACACCATAGCACCAACGTCTATGCTACTAAGCTACACAATCTGAAGCAAGCTCTATGCCTCAGATTCTGGCAGCAACTGCAGCAGAGTTCAGTACAGCTGAACCACCTGTGCAGTGAGGGTGATACTAGCACTCATATGCAAGTACTGCACTTAATATATAAAGCTGCTATCTTTACACACCATGGCTGGATGCAGTGTAGACAAATCCTCACATTCCACAAGGGACTAAATGAACTAAAAAGAGCAAGACAGCTGACACAAAACCAGTCACCTTTAGCGTGTTATTGGGACTCCATTCTTTTCATAGACTAAAGAATTGCTTGGTGTGTAATGGCCAATATAAACAGTAAGTCCTTTTAAAGACAAGTTATCAGCCTAAACTCAAGGGAAAACAGGAACTGTCTTGGTCAAATGCTTGTTCGGACTAGAGAATATTCACCTTTTTCCGGCAAAAAAGCAGACTTACCTAAAGAATTGAACCTGAGTTCCAAGATATATCTTAAGTCTATCCTCCTTTCTTACTCTAAGCAAGTTTGATCTCCTAATTCTTTTAATTATATCTAAAGCAGTAATTAAAATACCTTGTCACTTTTTCATACAGCAGATTAGATAGTTACTATTCTCTCATAAAATGGTGTTAGGTCCTTTAATGTAACATTCCTCCTCTTCCCTTTAATGGTTCCCAGGATAATTTAAAAAAAAAAGAGTAAAAAGAGCCAGGGCAAGACAGCCTTCCTGGCAGTGGATAGCAACCCTCTGAGACACCAGTTCAGATACAGAAAGGTCAAATACCTCTCACAAAGTACTTCAACTTCTGTGAAGTTGGCACTTCAACTGACATCAGGAAGGCTTAAAAAGCACATGCCTGAAGCAAGAGCTGCCCACAAGGAGAGCAAAAGGAAACGTTTCCTAAGCAAGGAACACAAACTGCTCTTTGGCACCAGCCATCAATTCTCCTACCACACTGAGCCAAGGCAACAGTCCTGGAGTCCCTTGGAAGGGTTTTAACAGTGTATGAAGAATGCTCAGTGAGGAGGAAGCACAGAACTTCCCTGGCAGCACCCAAAGAAGGCCATTAGACACTCAAGTATCAATAATCCCTAAATTCATCCATATTCTCTTATGTGGGTTTTATTTCATTTTACTGTGTGACAACGTAAGATTCTTCACAGCACTCTGTCATGCTGGGCTCACAAGGCAATGTCTGGGTTTGGATGATGCATGATTTTACCCTGCAAAGTGGAAATACATTGCTTTCTAAAACTTTTTGTAACAAATCTGAGGATACTGATATTGCAGACAACCAGAATATTTAAATCTGCTTACTAAAACAATTTTTATGAATAAGGTAAACTTATGCTTGGCTCCACTTACAAAGAATAATCCAGACCAGAATTGGAAAGTGAAACTGAATAACCTGAGGTTTTTTACAGCTACAATAAAACCACGCAAAGTCCTATAAGTCAGGTTAAGTTCATCCTCACCCAAGGCTCAGTACTAAAGCAACAAAGAATCGCATAGTGTGTCCCAAATCGCTCCTTGCAACTACAAGCAATTCCCCAATAACCGTTCCAGACAGAGCTCCACCACACATCTGCATCTCTCACTCCTAGCCACAAATTCCCCACTGCAACTGTGACAGGCTGAAGATAAATGCTGCAACTGTAATAGGCCAAAAGAAAAGAACAGGAGGTGCTCAGGGGCTGGTCAGGATCTATCCTGCTCAAAACTTGGCAG